TTTTTTTTTTTTTTTCCTTCTCAATGCTATTGGAATGAAGAATATGAAACGTAATTGCCATGGTAATGAAGTGGATGGAAATTTATTTTCATTAGTGTAACCTCTTTGGTGAATTAATAGCTAATAAGAGCACGTAATGAGCCATTAACCACTCATTTTGTAAATGGGATTGACATAAATAAATTGGATAGTAACCTCCCTATTTAATCAAATGAATGCTAAAATGATTTATTAGCTTCACTCATCATGCATAGAAATTATTGGCCCATTACACTTACAATTTATAAATTGCGCGCTATATATATATTGGACGAAAAGGAAAAATAAAAATAAAAATAAAAAAAGCCCTACTTAATATATTGAATAAAATTATATTTTCATTTGTTGAACTAAATCATGCCGACTTTTTTTGGTACCAGTGTTTTAAAAATTGACATGGATATTGACCTAGAAAATGTAAGATCTAGAGTTGAACATGCGATAAAAAAGAGTGAAACTGAAACATACTGTTATGATATTCGTTTAGTGGGTTCAAAATATTCAAATGTGATAGAAAAGAGTGAAACATATGACTACGAGATTTGTGTAATGGGTTCAAAATATTCAAGTTTTTTTTGCATATTATTGAATTAGATTTGGACTAGTCCATATTTTTTCAATTGAAAGGAAATTTTTGATACTACTTAAAAATTATTTAATGTGCATTGGTGCTTAGCTTATATTAAACCCGACGACATGAAACACCAAATTAAATAATTTCTTTGATACTATATTATCTTATAACTATATGTAGCGCCGTCAGATACATGCATAAGTGAATTATGCCACTCGACTATTGATGCGAATCTCACCACTAACAACTATTACAAAACAAGATACACTAACCCTAATTTTCTTTAAGGAAATGATAGTGTATTCTACTTGATCAAAACAGTGTGTAATGATTAATTTGAGGAGAAAACAAGTTGTGTGGTGATAATTTGAATTAGATTAGCGTGCCCTAAGAGATAAAATCATAAAAAAGCAGCTTCCAAATTGTCTTGCATGCAGTGCCATTTTAACAGATCCCAAGCATTCAACACTTTCATCAATTCAATTCAAAACAAAAGGCACATTTTTTTACAAATGAAAAATAGCTATATTTTACCGTTTCCTAATCATAAAGTCTTTCTTATTGTTATTATTTAATTTTTTTTAAAAATATGCCTTCTTGTGTTACCTTCTTTTCATATTCGGCACAAGAGCTAACTCGCTAGCTTAAGAGTAATTCTCGACTTTTTATTTATTTTTTCATCTCAAAATTCATTGGTACGCTCTTAGTGAATTTTTTGGATCTCTACGTCACTCGAACCCAAATCATTGAAGATTTGCAACTTATTCTTTTAGTGATGAAAATTTTCTCAATATTCCTCTATATTATTTCAATTAGAAACTTCGAGTTCCGTTAAAACACATGATCCTATAGATTTTCTCAAATATAGAGATTTTCTTTATTTTCTCAAATATAGAGATTTTCTTTGTTCTACTGTTTTCAAAATATACGTAATTAAAAGGGATAAATAAATTGAAATTAAGTTAATAAAACTAGTTAATTACTATATTTTCAAAATTTCAAGTTCCAACTAATTATATCCGTAGAAAACACAAACTAATAAATAATGAAAATTATGTACATATACATGCATCGAAGTTGGACGTGATTAATCCTTATGACGGCGCACGATCTACTGTGCAGTAAATCTCCATAATTACATTCACATTAATACGTATATTATATATACATATATGTAAACGTAATTAGTCACTACTGGACTTCAGAAAACCACAAAACAGAAACACCCCCCCCCCCCCCCCCCCAACACACCCCCCCCCCCCCCCCCCCCAAGTGTTTGTGTGTAAAAGATGGGAGCTGAATCTATGACGGGATGGTCAAATTATGAAGTAATGGCCAGAGAAGAATACCAAGATATTTTCTCCTTTCCAACCCAACTACCATCATTGGATTTCAGGTTTGTACTAATATTTCAAAGAGTCTATGATTTCACATTCTTAGACTAAAACAAATTATATATATCTAACGTTGTCGTGTTTGTTATTGTAATGTGAAAAATCAGTGGTTTTTCTGCTAATCTGGAGTTTCAGAATCATTTGCCTACCCAAGACTCTGCTTTTGAGCCCCTTCCTTTAATGGAGATGTTTCTGTATGATGATCCCTTGTATTCCAGTTTGAATCTTGAACCAATTCAGACCCAAATTCCAGGTGATGATCTTAATCATTTTCATATAATCAAGATTAACTTGTAAACTTTTAAAGTGATTTCCCTGAGAGGGTTTTGTCAAATTTATGCAGAGAATTTCTTCTGCGGTTATGGAAGTTCATTGACAGGGTTTGAAACTTGGAATCCTCAGTTACTATTGGAGAATACTAATGAAGAGATAACCGCGGAGGAGCCTGCGCAAGAAGAGAAGAGAGTTAAAAGGCAAAGAGAAATGAAAAATAATGCAAGTAATTGTAATATCTTATCCAGGGATACAATTTCCCAGTATTTTTACATGCCAATTACACAAGCTGCAAAGGAACTCAATGTGGGACTAACCCTTTTGAAGAAAAGGTGTAGAGAATTGGGAATTAGAAGGTGGCCACACAGGAAGTTGATGAGTCTACGAACCCTAATCAAGAATGTCCAGGTATGAATATCTATATGTAAATATGTATAATAGTTCTGTTTCTTACTCTCCAGTCTACGTTTCTAAACATATTACAAAGTTTTATGTACGGGTTTTTGCAGGAACTTGGACAAGAGGAAGGAGAAGGGAAGTTGAGAGATGCAATACAGATTTTGGAACAAGAGAGGAAGTTAATGGAAGAGATGCCTGATATACAATTGGAAGACAGAACTAAGAGGTTGAGGCAAGCATGTTTTAAGGTAAATTACAAGAAGAGAAAGCTCATGGCCGGAAATTCGTCGATGATGTCGGAGTCAAAATCTGCAGGTCCTAGTGGTGATAACCCAGCAGCAGCTATTGAAATGAATGTTTTAGATTGTGGTGGCGGTAGGGATGATGAAGATGACGATGATGGAGGAGAGATGCAATCTTTCTTGTCTAACTGTTTTTCTTCTAGTAGTGACACAGTCTTTAGTGGAGTCATGATCAAGTAGTTCATTTTTCTTTTTGTCAGTCTCAACGTGTGTTCAGAATCAAGGTAGAATTAGTTAGTACTTTGTGAATGTACGATTTGGGTTTGATTTGTCGCTTAACTTTGGTTGTTATTGTGAAAATGTGTCATGTATTTCCATTTCATTTGCAAATGTTACTGATTTTCTGCAGTTTCACTTAACTTTGGAGTAATTTGTGGTAGTACACATCTTCAAATTCCAAGAAATGAGGAGTGAAAACGAAATTTGAACAAGTCCTTTTTTGACTCCCATTTTATACAATTTTTTTTTAAATTCATTTTCAACGATTTATCTTGTGGGATTCATAAATTTTATTTACTTTTCAATCATAAATTTCATTATCTTTTATCAAAATCTGTCAAAAATCTATTTTTTTAATTATTTATTATTTTTTTATTTTATCTAAACCGAACTGAGGCTAAATTAATTTTTCCTTCTTAAATTTTTGGTACCCTGAAAAAACAAGAATATCAATTGGACTTCTAACAACAGTTACCCAACCATATATTCAAGAAGCTAAGGATTTTTAGATTCTAGTAGATTTTCCACAACAAGCATATTTTCTTTCTGCATTTCTACGTTGGCTAGATGGAAGAAACAGCAAAAAATTCAAACAGAACTCTGTTCGGATTATTGATCATGTCCACCACATCTTTCAATAAGTCTAAAAATTAGATTTTTAGTAATTTTTTTAAAAAAATTGACAAAGATGTATGATTGAAAATTTTAATATAAGTTGTGGATAAAAATGAGTTTGGAAAAAAAAAATTAAAAATTGGGATCACGTGGAATCTATTTCTTGCTCAATATTTAGGCAATCCTTGTCTTTGATACACATCAAACCTCAAAATAATGCCCAAAGTTAACTAATTTATAAATAGTTTATAAATTCAATCGAAGTCACTCGTTATTCATACATTACGTGAAACTTACTAATGTTTTTCTTTATAAATCATTTATTAATTTATCAAATGAAGACTTAAAATCTTATCATAAATACTTTCATAATATTATTGAAAGTACTTAGCAAACATGTTTTAAAAGGTAAACCTATATGAGCCCATTTTAAACATCAAAGTTCCTTGAGGGAGGTATTTCTACCCACCATTTTTACACCTTTCTGCTACTGGTTCAAATCAAAGGTAACATGGTAACTCCAAATTAATGGAAACTGTTTATTCTTTCCTTCTTTCACAATCGCTCCGCCGTTTCTCTGTCCTTCGCTTCCACTCTGCAGCGGCGGCTGCACTTGAATACCAACACCAGCACCACCCTCTCTCCAACCCCAACTCCACAGCACCTAATGCCCATCAAGAAAAGACAATCATTTCCCTAACAAAATCTTGCACCCACAAAACCCAATTGCTTCAAATTGTGAATGTACGATTTGGGTTTGATTTGTGGCTTAACTTTGGTTGTTATTGTGACATTTGTGTCATATATTTCCATTTCATTTGCAAATGTTACTGATTTTCTGCAGTTTTACTTAACTTTGGAGTAATTTGTGGTAGTACACATCTTCAAATTCCAAGAAATGAAGACGAAATTTGAAAAAGTCCTTTTTTGACTCCCATTTTATACAATTTATTTTTCTTGAAATTCATTTTCAACCATTCATCTTGTCGGATTCATAACTTTTATTCACTTTTCAATCATAAATTTCGTTGTCTTTTATCAAAATTTGTCAAAAATCTAATTTTTTTATCTAAACCTAACGGAGACTTAATTAATTTTTCCTTCTTATTTTTTTGGTACACTGAAAATGTAAGAATACCAATTTGGACTTCTAACAACAGTTACCCAACCATATATTCAAGAAGCTAAGGATTTATAGACTCTAGTAGATTTTCCACCACGAGCATATTTTCTTTCTGCATTTCTACGTTGGCTAGATGGAAGAGACAGCAAAAAAATTGAAACAGAGCTCTATTCTGATTTTCAATCATGTCCACCACATCTTTCAATAAGTCTAAAAATTAGATTTTTAGTAATTTTTAAAAAAAAATTGACAAAGATGTATGATTGAAAATTTAATATAAGTTGTGGGTAAAAATGAGTTTGGAAAAAATAATTAAAATTTGGGATCATGTGGAATCTATTTCTTGCTCAAGATTTAGGCAATCCTTGTCTTTGATACGCATCAAACCTCAAAATAATGCCCAAAGTTAACTAATTTATAAATTCAGAGCATGTTTGGTACAGCTTAAAATCAAATTAAAATCAATTTTTTGATCGTTATTACACTATTCCAATCGTCATTTTTAAATTCTTCTTTCATAGGTAGAACTCACTTTATTTCTAACGGTCAAAAAATTAATTAACATAATCTCTACCAAACAAGCACTCAATCAAAATCAACTAGGTATTTATAAATTATAACTACTGCTTGTTATTTGTACATTATGTGAGACTTACTAATGTTTTTATTTATAAATCATTTATTAATTTATCAAATGAAGACTTAAAATCTTATCATAAATACTTTCATAATATTATTAAAAGTACTTAACAAACATGTTTTAAAAGGTAAACCTATATGAGCCCATTTTAAACATCAGAGTTCCTTGAGGGAGGTATTTCTACCCGCCATTTGTACACCTTTCTGCTACTGGTTCAAATCAGAGGTAACATGCTCAACTGCAATTCAAATTTTTGCAGCCAAAATCAACCACCCGTAACTCCAAATTAATGGAAACTGTTAATTCTTTCCTTCTTTCACAATCGCTCCGTCATTTCTCGGTCCTTCGCTTCCACTCTGCAGCGGCGGCTGCACTTGAATACCAGCACCACCCTCCGTCCAACCCAAACTCCACAGCACCTAATGCCCATCAAGAAAAGACAATCATTTCCCTAACAAAATCTTGCACCCACAAAACCCAATTGCTTCAACTCCAAACGCATCTACTGCGCAATTTTCACTTTTATAATCCCACCGTTTTTCTCTCCTTTCTCTCCCGTATTGCGTTCCCTCCGTTACATGATTTATCCTATTCTTATAAGATCTTTTGCCAGTTCCCAGCGCCTAATGTTTTGTTATACAACACCATGATCAGAGCTCATTCGTTAAGAAATGACGTGGCTAAGAATGGGGTTTTGTTATATCAAGAAATGCTTCATTCGGGCATTTCACCAAACGCCTTGACGTCGATGTATGCAACGAAGTGTTGCATAAAGTTTGGATCTTTGTTCAGTGGGACACAGATTCACGCTAGGATTTTGAAAGATGGGCATCAATCTGATAGCCTTTTGCTAACAACATTGATGGATTTTTATTCGTCTATGGAGAAAGGTAGTGAAGCTCATAAAGTATTTGATGAAATATCTCATAGAGATACTGTTGCTTGGAATGTGTTAATTTCTTGCTTCATGCGCAACAGGCGAACTCGAGATATATTGGGTTTGTTTGATGCAATGAGAAATTCAAATAAGTGTCAACCTGACGAAGTCACTTGTCTCTTTGTACTTCAGGCTTGCGCTAGCTTGAATGCATTGGAATTTGGTGAACGGGTTCATAAGTACATTGAAGAACATGATTTTCACAATATGAGGAATGTTTGCAATTCTCTCATAGTAATGTATTCACGCTGCGGATGTGTGGAAAAAGCTTATGATGTGTTTAAAGGGATGGTTAACAGAGATGTTGTGACATGGAGTGCAATGATTTCGGGTTTAGCTTCTAATGGTTATGGTAGAGATGCAATTGAGGCTTTCAAAGAGATGCAAAGAGCAGGCATTGTGCCCGATGACCAGACTTTTACTGGGGTTTTATCGGCTTGTAGTCACTCGGGGCTAGTCAATGAGGGTGGGATGTTCTTCAAGGCTATGAAGAGAGACTTCGGAGTTGTGCCTAACATTCACCATTATGGATGTATGGTAGATATCTTAGGCCGTGCCGGTCTGGTGGATGAGGCTTATGACCTAGTAATTTCCATGCCAATTAAACCAGATGCGGCCATGTGGAGGACATTGCTTGGAGCATGTAGAATTCATCGACATGTAATCCTTGGCGAAAGAGTTATTGAGCATTTGATTGAACTCAAGGCTCAAGAAGCAGGGGACTATGTTCTCTTGCTGAATATATATTCTTCAGTGGGAAACTGGGAGAAGGTTATAGAAGTGAGGAAATTGATGAAGGACAAAGGAATTCAAACGACACCTGCTTCTAGTACAATCGAGTTGAAAGGGCGAGTGCACGAGTTTGTTGCAGACGATGTTTTTCATCCACGCAAGAAAGAAATTTATGATAAGCTGGATGAAATTAATCAACAACTAAGAATTGCTGGTTATGTTGTTGAAATAACTTCAGAATTGCATAATGTGGAAGAAAATAGTAAGCAATATGCACTATCTTATCACAGCGAGAAATTGGCAATTGCTTTTGGAGTTCTTGCTACCCCACCTGGCACAACAATAAGAGTTGCAAAAGATCTCCGAATTTGTGTAGACTGCCATAATTTTGCCAAAATTCTGTCGGCTGTTTATAATCGGAAAGTAGTCATCAGAGATCGTAATCGTTTTCATCATTTCCAAGAAGGATTCTGCTCGTGCAATGATTATTGGTGATGATATAATTTGACAAATCTCATGCTGTAACAAGGTAACAGGAAGATATAGCTGGGGATGTTCGTCCTCACTTAGATGACACCACTTTCTTGTGCAGATGGCTTTCACCTACCCTACCTGAGGAAGTATGTAGCAAAATCCACTAAAGGCTTCATTTTAAGGAAGGCAGTTTAGGCTAAAGTTACTATGACCAAATGCTCTTGATTTTAGGATGATTAAATGAGATGGACTTGCTATGAAAGGAAATAACGTCAAGGTGAGGTCTGTCTGTTGCAGCTAGTAGAAGTTCATCAAGTTACATAGTCTCTGATGCTTAGAGGATACCATTCAAACCTCACTAAGATTCCTAGTAATTGTCGTGAGAACTGTATAAGCCATCTAAAGCAGCTAATCTGTAACACATTTGCCTCATGTTACATCGAAGTTGGATAATTGGATTCAATTATAGAACAAAATGAATTGAAAATTTAGCCTCTACATTTGTTATTTGGAATGTGTTTATAATAATAGTGGAATTCGTTATTCGAGAAATACAAGTAACGCCACTGCAAATGCTAATTTCATGTGTCATTAGCTGATTGCACTTCTTTTATACGTTGATCATATGAGACGCAACCTGATTGCACTTGAGCAAAATGGTTTAGCTTCGTAGGAAAATAAGGCACTTTAGGATATTCAATTCATCTAAAAAATACGAAATACGTGGACTAGACTGCCCTAGCAATATTTTTGATAAATCTACAAAACTACGTAACATATGAAAGCAAATTCTACAACGCCAACTACTCATCTCTATAACAGCAACACTTACAGGGGGAACTCTATTCAAATTGCCTACAGAACGAAATTCTGGTGCAGCCATGAATTCTGTGATCTCTACACTTTATTCTAACCCAAAGATTGTTCATTTAGCTATAATAAAAGTCTATGCTGATGCTGGTTGCTTCTGAAGAAAAGCTACGCCCTTCTCAATGCTGGCGTTAAGCTCTGGCTTGAGAGCTTCCAAAGCCTTCTGTTCATACTCAGTTAAGGTCCAATGAAATCAATTGAAAGATTGAGTGATTTGGAAGAAGGTAATTTGTATATTGAATGATAATTTACAAAGGAGGAAGCACGTTTCTATATACTACATTAGCTATCCTATTCTTGGGAACTAATCAATTACAATCAACCAAAAATACAAAAAAAACGTGTATACAATTCTATTATTGGCAGATTTCATATTCTTTCCTGTAATGGCAGATTTCATATTCTTTCCTGTAATACTCCCCCTCAAGTTGGAGCGTGTATGTCAAGGACGCCAAACTTGCTGAGAAGAGAATGAAAAGCTGATGAATTGAGTGGCTTGGTGAACAAGTCAGCAAGCTGGCAAGCTGATGGAACATACGCAGTCACTGTAGTTCCAGACTGAATTTGTTCCCGAACAACATGGCAATCGATCTCTATGTGCTTGGTACGTTCGTGATAAATCGGGTTTGCAGCAATGTGGAGTGCTGCTCTACTATCACAGAACAATTTGACTGGTTGTGGATGCTTCACCTGCAAGTCATCCAGTAAGTATTTCAACCATCTTAGCTCACATGTAATCGAGGCCATGGCTCGATATTCTGACTCAGCTGAAGACCTTGACACTGTCATTTGTTTCTTGGTCTTCCATGAAATAATTGCTCCTCCGAGGAAAATACAATAACCAGTAACAGATCGTCTTCTGATTGAACATCGAGCCCAATCCGCATCACAAAATCCCATTAGTAGCAAGTTACCTTTGGCTGGGAAGTACAATCCTCGCCCAGGTGCACCTTTAAGGTATCTCAAAAGGTGATGAACAGCATCTAAATGGGGTTTTCTTGGCTCTTGCAAAAATTGGCTCAGAATGTGGACTGAATAAGTTATCTGTGGCCTTGTGATGGTAAGATATATAAGTCGACCCACCAACCTTCTATAAGCCGATGGATTCTTCAATGGTGTTCCCACTGTTGGTAGGAGCTTGAGGGTTTCTTCCATAGGCGTTGACAACGGTTTGGCCCCAAGCAAGCTTGTTTCATCCAAAATGTCAAGTGTGTACTTCCGTTGTGATATGGAAATTCCACTAGTAGAACGAGCAAGTTCAACACCAAGAAAATATTGCAATTGGCCAAGATCCTTGATGCAAAATTTGGTATGAAGAAATTTCATAAGAGCGACAATTTTACCGTCATCATTGCCGGTTATGATCATGTCATCTACATAGATGAGCACGGCTGTGAAAGAATTACCTGAAATCTTGGTGAAAAGGGAATAGTCTGCTTTGGATTGATGAAACCCATCTTCCTGAACAGCAGTAGAAAATTTTTGAAACCAACTACGAGAGGCTTGTTTGAGTCCGTATAAAGACTTGTTGAGTCGACATACAAGAGAAGTCTCTCCTTGTCGACGAAGACCAGGTGGCATTTGCATATAGACCTCTTCGAGTAAATCCCCATGGAGGAAAGCATTTTGGACATCCATTTGATGAAGTGACCAATCTCTAATAGCAGCTACAGCGAGTAAGCAACAGACTGTAGTTAACTTGGCGACCGGAGCAAATGTTTCTTTATAATCAATCCCTTTACGTTGAGTAAAGCCCTTTGCCACCAATCAAGCTTTGTATCTCTCAATTGTGCCATCGGAGTTATACTTAATCTTGTACACCCATTTGCATCCGATTGGACGATGTCCATATGGGAGAGGTGTAATTGTCCAAGTCTGATTTTGTTCAAGAGCCTGTAGTTCTGCAACTATGGCTTCTCGCCATTTTGGATCCAATGCTACCTGTTCATAAGTTATAGGTTCTGCAAGAGTAGTGACAGCACAAACAATATTTTGATATTTAGGTGAGAGTTGTGCATAAGAGATGTACCGATGTAAAGGATGACGCGTGCCTGTCGAGGAAGAAGATTGGCTGGGAGCACCCTTGGTCATGTGATAAAGGTGGAAATCTCGAAGTTTGATGCTTGGTTGTTTGGTACGTTCAAAATGACGAGCGATATGAGACGAAGATGGGGCATCAGTGTCATGATTAATTATATGCTCGTTTGAAGCAGGTACGGGTGATGGAGATGAAGAGGGATTGTCAACAAGTGACTTTGCTGTGTCTATGGCAATCAAGTCATCTGGTGTGTGTGGTAATGGGAGGACAATTTCATCTTCCTGTTCTTCTTGTGGATTAGTATGAAATGGAAAGATATGTTCGTGAAAAACGACATCTCGAGATGTGAAGGATTTATTAGTTGCAAGATCATAAACCCGATAACCTTTTTGACCAAAGGGGTAGCCAATAAATATGCATCGACGAGCTCTTTGATTGAATTTATGTGTGTGTAGGAGATTGGTAGCACAGCAAAGGCATCCAAAAGTGTGAAGATGATTATATATAGGCAACTCGTTATGGAGAACTTGGTATGGTGATTTATTAGAAAGGAGAGGTGTTGGTAAACGGTTAATCAGATAGCATGCTGTTTGAACGCTTTCTCCCCAAAATTTTAATGGTAGGTTTGCTTGGAAATGAAGTGCCCTTGCTACATTTAAAAGATGTCGATGTTTTCTTTCGACCACCCCATTTTGTTGGGGAGTTGAAGTACATGAGCAATGGTAATTAATTCCCTTGGCATTAAAATAATCTTTCATGGAAAAAATTTCAGGACCATTATCTGTTTGAAGGGTTTTAATTCGACTATTAAATTGTGTCTCTACCCAAGAAATAAATGATTTCAATATGCCTTGCGTTTCAGACTTGAAACTCATGAGATGTATCCAGGTATATCGAGTAAAATCATCAACAATTGTGAAGAAATAATTAGCCCCAGAAGTGGACTTTATACGATGTGGTCCCCAAATATCACAATGTATTAAATCAAAAGGTGCTTGAGAAGAAATAGAACTAGATGAAAAGGGTAAACGAGTTTGTTTAGCTAAAGGACAAATTTCACAAACATGATTTGAATCAAAATAAATTGCAGGATTACTTTTATTGAGAACTTGAAGAGGACGTGACGATGGATGGCCAAGACGTTGATGCCAAAGACTTGAATGCTTGCGGATGGCGTAGGCGAAGGCTGGATTTTGGGCTTGTGTTAAGTAGTAGAGACCATTATGTTGCTTGTGTTAAGTAGTAGAGACCATTATGTTGCTTGCCCAGGCCAATCGTCTTCCTCGTAGCAACGTCCTGCACAACACAAAAATTGGAAAAGAATGTCACTGCACAGTTTAATCCTCTTGCCAGTTTACTGACTGACAGTAAATTGACTCGAAATTGTGGAACTTTAAGAACTTCATCAAGTTTAATATGAGGCGTAATTTGCAGTGAGCCAATTGACTCAATACATGTCTCCCCACCATTTGGAAGACTGATGGTGGTTGTCATGGGCAAAACTTTCGAGTTCAGTAATTCGGCAGAAGAAGTTACATGGTCCGTAGCCCCACTATCAATGATCCAACACAATTTTGATTGTGAGGTTTCTGTAACACTTTTAGATAAAGGCATACCTATGGTATTGACAAAGTATTGTGGGTTACCATCAATGTTGGCCTTTCGAAGTATTGTCATCATTTGATTGTATTCTTCGGTGGTGAATTTTGGTATATCATCTGTTAAAACAGATTTTGCTTTTGTCGAAACAGATTTTGCTTCTATCTTTGAACCTTTATTTGTCTCGGCGTTCACATTGTTTGCATTTGAGCGGCGCTGGTTGTGGGGCTTTACGTTCTTCCCATGAAACTTGTGGCCTATTGGAAAGCCATGTAGGTAAAAGCACCTTTCAATGCTATGATTATCTCCATCACAGTAAGAGCAGTGTGTGGGCATCCTCTGCCTTTGAGTTGTCTTACTGTCCCGATCTGCAAGCGTGGCATGACGATTCATATTCCCACGGTTAAGAGAGACTTCGGTCTGCTTTTCTTGTTGAAGAATGAGAGAATAAACTCGACGTGTATCAGGCAAGGGTTGCATCAACAAGATTTGTCCACGAACAGCAGTGTAGTTGTCATTCAATTCCATGAGGAATTGCACGACTTTTTCTTTCTCTTCCCTTTTTTTGAGTTTTTCCAATCCACCACATGTGCAGGTCATTGGTTCATGATAGGATTAGAGTTCATCCCAAAGAGCTTTAAGCTTTGTGTAGTAGGTTGAGATCGATTGCTGCCCCTGTCTATGTTGTATAATATCTTGTTTGATTTGAAAAATTCTCGAATCGTTTCCTTAGGAGAAACGCTCTTGTAGGTCCGACCAGATTTCCGCTGCACTTTCGACATAAATCACGCTGCTAGCTATGTTTGGATGAATGGAATTCAATAGCCATGAAATTACCATGTCATTGCATCTCTGCCAGGAAGGAAAGCTGTCATCTATAGAAGAAGGCGGTTTGATTGAACCTGTGATGAATCCAATCTTGTTATTGGCACTTAAACTGATTCGCATAGCCCGACTCCACATGCCGTAGTTGTCTTCTTCAAGTACTTTGGACACAAGTACCATACCTGGACGGTCTGAATGATGCAGGGAGAAAGGATTTGTGCCTTCTACAATCGCCTTAGTCAGTGTCGATCCCATCCCGCTGTTGTCTTTGTCTCCCATGGCAGTTGTGATAATGGATTAAGTAGCGGAAGCGTTTACAGAATTTCAGAGTTACCAGATTCAATGCTCTGATACCATGAAAGATTGAATGATTTGGAAGAAGGTAATTTGTATATTGAATGATAATTTACAAAGGAGGAAGCACGTTTCTAAATACTACATTAGCTATCCTATTCTTGGGAACTAATCAATTACAATCAACCAAAAATACAAAAAAACGTGTATACAATTCTATTATTGGCAGATTTCATATTCTTTCCTGTAATGGCAGATTTCATATTCTTTCCTGTAATAGCCTCGGCCCCATTCTTTCCAAGCTTAACTCTTGATGCAAAGAATGGAAGGTAAGTCAGGTCAGACTGAACATAACAGCATTCATAGACATCACTATCTCTATCAAGTGTGTGGATTGAAGACTTGACAAACCGTGCTGTAGTATATGCCATTGAAAGAGTGGCAGATCCTACTCCAGCCTTTGCCTCGACAACTTCAGTCCCAGCATTCTGAATCCTCACAGTTACCTCTTGCACTTCTTCATGGGTGAAAGTAACAGGGTTATCTTTGACAACAGGGATAAAACAGTAATCCCTGCATGTCCACCGCCAACTAGGACATCAACGAGCTTCAAAAACTTGTAAAATTTTGTTTCGCAAGTGTACAACCCGTAACAAATAATAGTGGACCTAATAGTCCGGATTGTCGATCCCACAAGAACTATTTTCTAGCACTTAATTCAATTTTTAACTACCATTTGACTAAAACAAATTAAAAGTTGTAAAATCTGAGTTTTAATCTAAATTCTAGAAAATAAATGGATGTTCACACGATTGGTTGGAGAATCAAATAATGAATGGATGTTAGGGCAGAATAATTTTGCCAATTGATCACCTTTACATCTCAAATTAAAACTCAATTCTAATGTAGTACTCAGTTGAATTCTCCTATTGTATTCAATTTACCCTTCTTGAGTTCTCATTGAACCTATTCAACTAATTAAATTTCATATCTCCATGCAAATTCAACTTAGTTAAACGAGTTCTATGTCCTAGGAATTCAATTATGACCGCAATAAATGGTATAGATATCTCTACTCGTTATACCAATGTACTGAATTTTACTACATGGTCTAAATCATAAACTCATATATCTATTTGTAAAGAATTCACAAAAATCATCAAATTATTGATCAGATAATTTAATGCATTCAACTCATAGCAAAATCAACACATGGAAAAATTAAAAACTGAAAATTTTAATAAGAGAATGTAAAAGATCCCAACTGGTTACATTATTCCCCATAACAATGAATTTAGCTACTCATAATGCAAGAAGAAAAGTAGAAAATTGTCTTAGAATACATCACCGAGTTTGTAATAAAGATGTAGAAGAAAAAGTAGAATTCTTGCACCAAGATCTCCTTCTTCTTCCAATGAATGCTTCTAATTTTTAGTTGCTTAGTATTAATCTTCTTGAATTTCTCTTTTGAATCTCCCTTTTTGTTGTCTAGTCTCCAATATGTCAAGAACCCTTCAAAAGTATGAGAGAGATCTATTTATAGGTGTCACTCTGTTTTATGTAGAAGTAGAGTTTTTATGGATTTAAAAAGGGCCCAAAAAAAGCGCCCTAGATACTCAATCGCAGCGCCTGGGCACTACGTCTTCAACGCCTGGGCACTGATGATAGCGCCTGGGCGCTATGATTGTGGCGCCTAGACGCTGCCTCTCGAGTCCAAATTTCATCTTTTTTCCAGTTTCATAGCGCCTAGGCGCTATGAATACAGCACCTAAGCACCGTCTTTCTGCCCCAATTCCGTGTTTTTGGCCTCTTCGTCCATTTTAATACCTCTTTTCACATCGCATCTCCTAATCTTCAAAACAACACTAACAAACACATCAAAAACGTTCTATACTCACAAGATCTAACATTTAATCAAGCTAAAATTGTGCAAAAATTATGAGTGAAACAAACTCATCAGTAAGTCAGGTCAGACTGGACATAACAGCATTTATAGACATCTCTATCTCCATCAAGTGCGCGGATTGAAGACTCGACAAACCGTGCTGCAGCATATGCCATTGAAAGAGTGGCAGATCCTGCTCCAACCTTTGCCTCGACAACTTCAGTCCCGACATTCTGAATCCTCAACTACCTTTGGCACTTCTTCATGGGTGAAAGTAACAAAGTTATCTTTGATAGCAGGGATAAAACAGTAATCCCTGCATGTCCACCGCTAACTAGGATATCAACGAGTTTCACGTTTTTCTTGTGAGCAACAAATGTATTCAACATCGAGAGTGGTAACACCAAAGAGCTTCTTTGGATCATATACTACCTTCTACTTCAAAACTTCAGCAGCAATTGGCTCTATGGAGTTGGCTGGATTGCTAATAATGTGAATAAAGGCATCCGGGCTGTTATAAGCAACAGCCTCGACAAAGGCTTTCATTATGTTGGCATTAATTTAAGAATTAAGCTGAGTGTACAACACCTACTGTACACTCAATTTGACAGCCTACTCACACGAGTGGAGGGCACACTTGTGTTAAGTGTGAGAGCTGTCAAAAATGATGTAAAAATAGGTGTACTTGTAGCATAATTGTTAATTTAAATAGGTCATCACGTGTCATTCCTGGCTTCCTCGGAACACCAGCAGGTATGACAACAACATTTATGCCCTTTAAAGAATCTGCTAACTGAGATGTTTCTCTAAAATCAGAAACCTTAGATGGTGTTGCTGGAATTGATTCAAATAAATAACTGAAATTGGAAAATGAAAATGTGTGACTTCGTGTCAACTTCAACCAAATATTCAGACTTGATCCGATAGTCAAATTACAAAATTAAATAGACCAACTTATCTACTCATTGAGTAGATCGTTGTGGTATATTTCGAAATCAATTCCGGATGAATGAGAAATTGCGGTCCAAAATTGGAAGAAATTAAGTGTTGCAACATTTCGAAATGATGCAAATTTTGGCCAAGTGTTGCAACTTTTCGAAAAGATGCATGTTTTGGCTCACACTACTTCATTTGCACCCTTTCTACATCTATAAATAGGACCCTATGGACATAGTTTTGGGTACATCAATTGCATTGAGCCCTCATTCTCCTCTTACAATTATCTCATTTCTATTTCTATAGCATTTCCTTTGTAGAGGGAAAATTCTGTTAAAAGTTCGTCGATTTCTTATTGTTTGAAGTGTTGCTACCATAAGTTGTAAATTCATTGTATTTTGGAAGACAGGTGTCATTCACTGTGGGCAACGTAGTGGGGCAATTTGTCTTAAGGAAAAAGACAACGTCTCGTTTTGGATTATTCTCTATTTTCTACTCCTTCTTAATTCTTATTTTGCGTAATTGTTTACCATATTATATATACTGAAACTCTATCCAAATTTTTTTTGTTTTAGTCACGCTCCTGCGGCTTAAAACTGGTCGAACAAATATATCAAAAATCAACCATTACATAGCCTGTTTCTCTAAGTCGTCTCCAACAAACTTAAGACAAATTTTTTGTGTCTTTATGGTTGATTGTGGACAACCATTACTTTGCTTGAATAATGCTTTGTGTACTACTCCTCTACCGATATTATCATCATTTTGTTGAACTTCTGTTTATGTAATAGAAATGACTACTATCAGGACTTTGTCGAGTCAAAATGGTTCCAATAATGTTGTACCACCCGTGGCATATCGTTGCATAATACTACTATCCCACATGGGAAAAAGTAAAAAAAAATTACAGAATTAGACTTCAAGAGGTGGCAACAAAAGATGTTATTTCATCTCACCATTCTTAATTTGGCTAAGTTTCTAAAGGAAACTCACCGGCTATACAAGAAGGAGAAAATAATCGTGAATCAATTATTACTTTAGATGCATGAAAACACTCGAATTTCTATGCAAGAACTATATCCTAAACGGATTGGATAATACATTATATGGGGTGTATAGTTCAAAGGAATCAACTAATGAACTATGAGATTCTTTGGAGACAAAATACAAGACCGAAGATGTCAGAACAAAAAAGTTCATTGTCGGCAAATTTTTGAACTACAAGATGGTGGATTCCAAAGTCGTGATTAGCTAAGTGCAAAAAATTCAAGTCTTGTTACACGACATCCATGCTGAGAAAATGGAATTGAGTGAATCATTCCAAGTAGCTGCCATTATTGAGAAACTCCCTCCTATGTGGAGAGATTTTAAAAATTACTTCAAGCACAAACGCAAGGAAATAAATTTGGAAGAATTGATTGTGCACTTGAGGATTGAAGAGAACAATCGAAAAACTGAACAAAGGCTAGTTGATCAAGATGGTGCAAACTTTGTTGAAATGGAACCAAATGCAACAAATAAGAAACGAAAGGCTCCTAATTATGCACTGCGAAGAGACAAAATCAAGAAGGCTAAGAAGTTCAAAGGGAATTATTACAACTGTGGCAAGGCCGGATATCGTTCAAGTGAATGTCGAAAGTAAAAAAAGAATGCTCAAACCCAAATGGTTGCAAATGACACTCTATCCGAGGGATTGCAAGAAATGATTTTATCTGCAGTAGTGTTCGAATGCAACATGATTGGAAATACTAGAGAATTGTGGATTGACACCGACACTACCCACCATGTGTGTGCGGACAAGGTGATGTTCTTCAACTATCAAGAATTGAATGGGGAACAACTATACATGAGTAACTCTGCAAGTTCTAAAGTTGAAGGACAAGGCAAAGTCATTTTAAAGATGACATCTGGGAAAGAACTCGTCATCAACAATATCCTATATGTGCCGAAAATATGAAAGAATTTAGTGTTTGGGTCTCTACTTAGCAAGAATGGTTTTAAACTTGTATTTGTATCCGATAAATTTGTGTTGTCTAAGAATGAAATGTATATAGGGAAATGATACATGTGTGATGGAATGTTCAAGTTGAACATTCTTACAATTGTATCGAAGTAAGTCGTTATGAATAAAATTATAAATTTCGTTTACTTGCTTGAGCCTTCATGTTTGTGGCATAGTCGATTAGGACATGTGAATTACAAATCGTTGCGCAAACTAATGAATCAAAATTTAATTCCGACGCATAAAATCAATCCTAATCATAAATGTAAAATATGTGTTGAAGCAAAATTGGCTAAAACACCGTTCCATTCAATACAAAGGAACACAACCGCTCTTGAATTGATCCATAGGAATATATGCGATCTAAAATTTGTACAAACTCGAGGTGGTAAGAAATACTTTGTGACATTTATTGATGATTGTACAAAATTTTGTTATGTCTTTCTTTTGAGAAGTAAAGACGAAGTCTTAGATGCATTCAAAACCTATAAGGTTGAAGTTGAAACACAACTTGAAAAATGAATAAAGAATATTCGTAGTGATAGAGGAGGTGAATATGGGGTGCCATTTGAAGACTTTTGTTCTGAACATGGAATTGTTCATCAAACAACGATACCTTACTCTCCTCAATCAAATGGTATTGTAGAACGTAAAAATCGAACACTTAAAGAAATGATGAATGTCATGTTAATAAATTCGGATTTACCACAGAACATGTGGGGGAGGCTATTTTAACAGTAAATAGTCTTCTTAATAAAATACCTCTTAAGAAAATGGAAGAGACACCATATAAACTATGGAAAGGCCATCCTCCATTCTACCAATACTTGAAAGTGTGGGGGTGTTTGGCTAAGGTTGAGGTACCTAAGCCTAAACAAGTGAAAATCGATCCTAAAACGATAGATTGCATATTTATCGTATACACTAATAAGAGTAGTGCGTATCGATTTATTGTATACAAATTTGAAATACAAAACGTACAAAAAGGGACCATAATTGAATCAAGGAATGCGACATTCTTTGAAAATATTTTTCCTTGCAAAGATAAGGAAAATACAAGTTCTAACAAGAAAACATATGAAACTACCAATAGAACTTCAAATGAGGAAGAACCAAGGCGCAGTAAAAGGGCTAGGAGTTCCAAGATGTTTGGCCCAAATTTTCTAACCTATATGGTAGATGATGATCCAAAGACTTTCGATAAAGCAATGTCTACACTGAAAGCATCTCATTGGAAAGAAACTATCAATAATGAGATAGATTCTATAATACAAAATCATACATGGGAGTTGGTTGATTTACCTCCCGGTAACAAGCCTTTAGAATGCAAATAAATATTCAAAAAGAAATTGAAACCTGACGGATCCATTGATAAATACAAGGCTAGATTGGTTGCTAAAGGATATAGGTAAAAAGAAGGACTTAACTTCTTTGATACCTACTCACTCGTGACTAGAATCACGTCGATAAGATTGTTAATTGCAATTGCGGTAATACATAATTTTGAGATTCATCAAATGGATGTAAAAACAGCATTCCTAAACAGTGAGTTAGAAGAGGAGATTTACATGGAGCAACCTAAAGGGTTCATTTCTCCTAACCAAAAACACAAAATATGTAAACTTGTTAAGTCCTTGTATGGATTAAAACATGCTCTTAAACAATGGCACAAAAAGTTTGACAAAACAATGTTGTCAAATGGATTCAAGATCAACGAAAGTGATAAATGTGTATATATTAAACATACACCGAATGCCTATGTAATTGTATGTCTATATGTGGATGACACGTTAATAATGTGCAATAGTCACAAAATGTTGCTTAACACCAAAAAGATGTTAACAAAGCATTTTAATATGAAAGATATGGGTATGACAGATGTAATTTTAGGGATTAAAATC